TGTAGCTTTGCGCCTTTCCTGGAACTCACTTGGTAGCCCAGGCTGGCCTCGAACTCACAAAGATCCGCCTACCTCTGCCTCCCGAATGACTGGAGCAGAGTCACTTTGTACATAGTTATAATGGTTGTGAAGATGACTGGAATACCATTTTACTAGAACTGAACAATTTAGTATAGATTCCTTTAAAAACTGTTTCTGTGTAGTGTGATATTAAGTAACAGTGGCTTCTTTCTGCCAAATCTAAGAGGTGACCACTTGGTGTTAGGACGCTTCTTCCAAGACACTAAGCCACAAAAGTTTATTTTAGAGAAAAATGTACACTGTAAAGCTTCTTTTACCTAGTTTTTCATTTTAAATTGTTTTTTAACATCTACATTCTAAGCATGCTGACATGATTTTAAAAGTATTTTCACTTAATTTGTCAGAAGGAACAAACTTAGGAAACTAAAAATAATACCTAGAAAAATGTACAATACTTATTTTTAATCAGAAAGCATCATGGAATCAAAGGTGTCTGCTCTTTAACTTTCTGATGGCCTTTGTTATTTTGTCATACTTAACAGATAACATGTACAGATTGACTTCTTTTGGTCCAGAACTACTTCAAATTACTTAATGCCCAAAAGATGGAGAATCTACTCAATGGTACTATTAAAACTGAAGATTATTAAAATTGGAGATGTTGAATATGGAAATGTATAATCTGGTTTATTTCATATGAATTAAGAGCCCCAAATCCTAAATGTAAGACTTAGTACTAAAAAGGAAACAAAGGGCTGGTCATGGTGGCATACACCTCTAATTTCAGCACTGAAGGCTGAGGCATGAGGATCACAAGGAGGAGGCCAGCCTGAACTACATATCTAGATCTAGTCTCAAAAATAAGTGGAGAGAAGCTCCTAAACCTATCTAAACTGCTAATTAATCCTCAGAGTGACAAGATGCACTCTTTCAATATCATGAAAGAGAGGAATTAAAGGAAAATCAAGATTTTAAAAGAGCACTGTATTTGAAAACACTGGCCATTTAAATGACGTTTTACATACCTTTGATTGTGAACATGTTATTTATGTGCTATAATATAATCTAAAACATGTTGTATCTCACTGTCTCTTTATAGGATAAGTACATTTAAGGTCTTAATATGTTTCTTTAATCATCCTGTGACTCAGGTGATAACACTTCATATTCCAAACAAGGGTCCATGTTATTTTCATTAGCATGGATTTGATTACATCGTACATCAGATAGATGGTCATGTTTTAGTTACTATCTTTGACTCCTTGAATTGAAAGCTCTTGGTTTCAATATATTTTGATGAATATGCCTTTTCTGTTACTATTTCCTCTAATAATATGCTAGATGTATCTTTAAGGATCCAGAAGTCGAGGAAGCCTTATGCAGCTGTAAAATGCTGACCATTTCTACGGAGATTTCAGTTTTCAACTTTCCTTTGAAACAGTTTGATTTTCAACATTTTTAATATTCTAGATGCCCCTTTACTCTTTAAAATAAGTAAGGATTTAGCCATGTTTGATTGTTTGAATGACAATGGCCCCCATAGGCTCATATATTTGAATGCTTAGTCACCAGGGAGTGGAACAGTTTGAGAAAGATTAAGAGAATTAAAAGGCAAAGAATGTTAGTGAGTCCCTCTACCCAAGAGCCCTTACATAAAGTTAGTACAAAGGACTTAATTTGTCAGAGTTACCAACCTCTGGCTATCAAAACCACATGGGAATTCCTTCTGGAATTGTTTCAAGGGTCACCATTACATTTCAAATGCATAAGAATTGAACAATGGCTTTACGTATTTTAGGTCACACTGATCTAGTCACTCTGTCAAGGTCTCTCACTTTTTCAGGTGGATTTCTCACCAGCCACAGGGGTGCTAATTGGTTTTTGTTTTGGTTTTGTTTGTTTTATGATAGGATCTCACTATGTAGCATTGGCTGAGTCCAATTACAAAGTCTAGTCGAGGTCACTCTGTAGACCTGGCTGGCCTGAACTCAGAGATCAGTCTGTTTCTGTCTCAGGAGTGCTAGGATAAAAGGCCTTTGCCACCATGACTGGCTTAATACTGTCTTTAAACTGCTTATTGAGCTCCACAGTTTAAAGATGTCTGGTTAGGAAATACTCAGAAACACACTAAAACTTGCCCTCCCCCACCCAATAAAGTTCATTCATTCACAACAAATACCTGGTTAGTGTTTTAAAATTGACACCTGTTATTCCAGTATCTGAGCAATGTTTCTAGCTTTTTCGAGTTTGAGGATTCTGTCCATTGCTAAAGAACCAAAGCAAATTTGTCTTCTGAGGTAGGATGTCAGTGTAGCCCAGCCTGGCCATGAGTTCAGACTCCTGAAGACAAAGCACTCCTGGGTGCTTGCAACTTGCCTTGCACGTGATTCTTTTTTTGTATCATTTAAGTCTTTGTATAAACACAGTATAATTGGTTATTAAGGGTTGATTTCTTTTGTGGGGGATGGGGATTACACAGGGTTTCTCTGTGTGGCTCAGTGTGGCTCTGGCTGTCCGGGAAGTTGCTTTGTAGACCAGGCTGTCCTCAGGGATCTACCTGCTTCTGTTGGGACTAAAGGCATGCACCACCACTGCCTGACTTAAGGGTTGGTTTCTTAAAGGAAAGTAACTTGTACTTTGAGAATTAAACCATACTAAGAAACTTTTAGTTCCTACTCTTTTTTTAATAGTTTGATGAATGGTAACATTGCTTTGCTATTCTTTAAAACTGCACCTTTTTGTTTGGAAAACTCTTGGTCTAGGATTACCTAATTCAATATATATATTACAGATGAGTTGAATCATACTGTCTATTCAAAACTAAGGAGAATGCATTTTCCTTCCTTTAAATTCCATAAATAGCATAGGGTTTTGTTTTTATTTTTTAACATTCATATCAAACTAGTTAGAAAAGTATACAGATTTTATTTGGATGTATTTAACTTATTAAATGAGACTTGATATAATTACAAAAATGTGTTTTATCTGACTAAAAGACTAAACTACTGAAAAGTGACTGAAGAGCAACATGGAAAATGTGGGGCTCTGCTGGACACTAAGGTGCAGGGAGAGCCGTCTCTGCCACTCCTAACATGTTTCTGAGGGACAGCTCCTTGCTGAGTGAGTGTGAGTATTAACCGAGAAGCAGCTCTAAGATCTCTGTGTAGTCACATATGCCTTCACAACCATGATTTATTTAAAATGGACCTATGGATATATTCACCATACAAATGAAAAGTAACTGATAGCTACTTAAAAATGTATTTCTTCATTTATTGGATCTAATTATTTCACTTTAATAAAAGATATAGACATTTAAAATATGTTGTGACTATATGGTTTTCTTAATAAAAAGGGATGATATCCCCCCCAAAAGCTGAATAAAAATTCCTGCAAAATGACCACCCACCCTCCTACACTCTCCTTTCAGTGCGAACTACATTGTAGGAACAAAATCTCTATTAGAGAACTCATTTGAGAAATGACTATCCCTGAAGATAGTATACTCTCAGTCTTTAACTACTTAAGAAAAGTCAGTATTGTGTTTAATATAAAGATTTAGCTTTGGGAAAAGAGCCTTTGAAAATTATAACTGAAGTTATCCTTCAGTTAACTGGCATTAGGAACACAAAGGTCTATGCATTTTTCTTGCATTTTTCCCTTGAAGATTGAAACATCACTCTAGCCCTCCCCGTGGTTAAATAAACAGTTCCAAGCCTCAGGATAGAACTGAATGGTGTGAACAAGTCTAGTGATAAACCACAGACCAGGTCCTTAATATAGCTGAAGTACACTGTGCCTTTTCCCATTTAAGAAGCACCAAACCTGGAGCCAAGTTTCAAAAGGCAATTTAACAGCAGGAACTATAATTTAATCACATCATATCATATTACACTATGTAACATTATGTATTTTACCTACTGATGTAACACAGTTATGTTTATTACAAGCATCATTTTCTAAGACTTATTGTACAGGTACTCCTTTTCAGGAATTACTGCTTATTTAATAGTGCCTATCTACATTGGAACATTAAATCAGTGATAGGTATATATAATGCAATGCAGTGTGCAATTTCCCCCTACCCCAGATTAAGGTATTATTAACACAAATCAATTAAGAAAACCAACACAACTATAAAAACTGAACTAAGCCTGTCAGCAACCCAGGTGCACATCTAAACAGGTCAACAGTGCTTCCCCAAAACATGAAGGTATAGGCTTAGAGTTGGTGTAGCAGCAGCTGGTCTTTAGGACAAGTAAATCAACAGTTTCAAGTGAAAAGTTACTCTGAGAAAACATCAATCCATTCTACTAACAAAAGCAGCAAATGCTGGTGTCATCTGAATGTCAAACTGTGCACTGTTTCTGACTCATTAAGTTCATTTATGTGATAACAAGACTGGAGTTCTTGAGGCGCGCCAGTGAGATGGACTAGTATGTCAGAACCTCTCATTTGTTTTAATATTTAAATGATAACAATATGGAAACTAGGAAAAGGTCAGTGCTGGTGGCTCTAAACCACATGAAATTCAATTTTTTTCACAATAACAATGTATTCAACCCCCTGTCTCTGCAACCAAAGAGCAATGCAGTATCCCTTCCTGCATAGAGGAGCTGAGGGCTATGCAAGTACAAGCTGTGACTAAGGGAGATGGATTCCGACTACATAGCAGTCCTGCATACTGACACAAAGTATGTGAGAAGAGCTCAAACTCATTTGTACATCTATATTCAGCTAAAGCTTCACAGCAGCAATGGGCATCAACAGTGCACTCAATACAGACACTTTTCAAAACTACTCCAAAAAACAAATGACAAAAGTAGTTAAGAACAACTGAACATATGTTGTGTGTACCGGGTGTAAAGGGTGAATGGACCCTGTAGTTATCCCACTGTTGGAAGTACATGAACTTAGTCCACGTCCATCTCTCCAGACTCAGTGTGCTGTGAGCTGCCTTTTGCTGGATCTGGGTTGGTCTCTGTACCACTCTGTCCATCCATTGGTCCATTGTGTTCACTGTTAGCTTTTGCTTTGTCTTCAGGAACTTCTACTTTTGGTTTGGGCTTATAAACGATGGGGTTACAGAAATTATCCAGTTCCTGAAGACAGAAACAAGCCATGCCAAATATTACACAAAACACTTAAGATGTTTGACAGTACTCTCCAACCTCTTAAAACGTGTGTCCTCATACATTTAAATAGTTCTACATATTTAACATTTTTTATTAGTGTACTTTTTATTTATTTATTTTGGCTTTTCAAGACAGGGTTTCTCTGTAGTTCTAGCTGTACTGGAACTCACTTTGCAGACAGGCTGGCTCTGAACTCAGAGATCTGCTTGCCTCTGCCTCCTGAGTGTTGGGATTAAAGGCGTGTGCCACCACAACCTGGCTATTGCACATAGTTTCTAATTCTTTATATGTCAGATGTTTTGAGAATTATGTCAACACATTTCTAAACATTTATATGAAAACAATTTTAATAAACAGAACCAGGGCTGGACAGTGGTGGTGCACTCCAGAGGCAGAGGCAGGTGGATCTCTGTGAGTTCAAGGCCAGCCTGGTCTACAGAGCGAGATCCAGGACAGGCACCAAAACTACATAGAGAAACCCTGTCTCAAAAAACCAAAATAAACAAACAAACAAATAAATAAATAAATAAATAAAACAGAAACAGATAAACGCCCATAGTATTTTTATGAAAATAGATGAACAAAAAATAAAAAATAAGTGTAATTCAATTCTAAGTTTTATGCAATTTGTGTATAAATTTTTTTTGCATTTCTGAGATTATACTATAATTATACCCCCCCTTCCCTTTCCTTTCTCTATACTCTCCTATAAAACCGCCTTGCTCTCTTTCAAATTCATGGCCTCTTTTTTCATTGTTATTTTATGCATATATGTGTATGTACACACATATATAATCCTAAATATAAGCTCGTCAGTCTGTATAATGTTACCTATATATGTTTTCAAGCCTGACCACTTGGTATTGAATAAGCAACTGATGTGCTTTTCCCTGGGGACGACTATTCCTCTTGCTCTTTGCCTTCCTTAGTGGCCTGCAGTTCTCTGGGTAGTGTTGAGGGCTCATGGACTCTTCCCTCCACCTTGGCATATCTGTTGGTGTCACCCTCACTAAGCCTGGTTGGTTCAGCTCACTTTTAGGCAGTCATGTTGGAAAGACTTGATGGGCAATTTGCTTTTAGGCATTTTCTCTCTCTTTGCTTTTTACACAGAAATGAGAGATTCTTACTTCAAGTGATGAAATTTTCAAGTTTTTCCAGACTCTCCTAGGGGTTGGGATAAGATCTTATGACAGGAAGTGACCCCTCAGGGAGAATGGTCTAGTTACAAATTGCTTTTGATGAGTTCCAAATCTTATGTGATTTACAGTGAAGTACTTACAAGCTTCTGGACAAAACAGAACTAAAGCCTTTTAAGTTTATCTAATTATATAGTACCTGCTTTTAAGAAAAAGAGGAATATCATGTACAAAAAAATATCAAACAAAGGAAATCTTTTAATATTAATACTTAAGTAAACATCCTTCTACTAGATGTTAAGACTCTTACACACACACACACACACACACACACACACACACACACACACACACACACACACTTACACTGTGTATATTGAAGTTCCTAGAAAAATGCCCCCTCTACATTGAGATTCTGCAGGCTAGCTGACTAATTAGAATGCTGTGATTGTGGAGAGTTGAAGTGCTAATCTAGAACTAAAATTATGGGATACCTTTAGGCCCCCATTAATATCTGTCCTCATATCTTTCCAGCTCTCAGATAAACATTTGGGATGGACTAATGTATTAGAGCAGTAGCTTCCACCATCCCCAAAGCCAATAGTATCATCAGACAGTGTCTGAAACCTGGAATGGAATTTTCTGTTGCTGTAACTTCTCTAATTTTGGCCCCCACAAATGTATTTGACAAATGTCTTGACTTATGACTTCTCAGAAACTAAGTTTATGAGACCACTTCCATGATGAAATGTTATTCAGAGCAACCTGTGTCTGTGCTCATGGTCCAATCACTCACAATAAATTATGTCCTTATTTCTTTTGAAGTGAGAGCTTTGTCTTATGCCTACAAATGTGATTTTATTAGGGGTTTGTAATCATTTTTACTCAATATGTTGTAAAATCGTATAACTATAACATCATATTTGATAGCTATATTACATATATAGTAGTAATTCCTAGAATTTTTGTAGTAATCTCTGGAATTGTGATTTTTGGCTAACAGTTACACACTCACTTCAAATGTCTACATATATGTGTATATTACATCTTCTGACCCAATGTCTCAGGCAAAGGTGTACCAATTTAAATTGGTCAGGGGAGAGTACTCACTGCTTCATGTCCTTCCAACTACAGCGCAGATTAGAAATGCAAGCACAGCGAATGATGGAGACAAAACCACCTGCACTCTTAGCGACTGAGTGCGCATCTCTTCTCTGTCAGCCCCCAATCCAGTGTTTTCACTTATGTCCATCTTTGCATCGTTTTGGTGCCATGTTTTTCATGATCTTTTTTTATAGCTTTTGACATTTTTATTATCAATGTTTATTAAATTTCAAAGTTTATCTGAGATTACATAAAATTAAAAACAGGATTTCACAGTGGAAGATTTCACATTCCAAAGACAGACCTAATGCAATAAAGATATTTGAGGTCTCAAGGAATCTGGTCACATTACTGTACTTCATTCTGTACTACTCTTGGAACTAAAAAGCCAGCAATGTCTAGCAAGTTCCAAAAGGAAGTAGAAAGTCCCTCATACCTAGAACTGTTGAAGTCAGCAAAGCAAACAAAGACTGGCCTTAAACATCACTTCTCTGTTCTTTTGCAAGTTGATTACTTCTCAGTGTGACACTCATTTGTTTTTCAGTCCCTAAAGTTGTTTTAGTGCTTAAATTATTAAAAAGGAAATTTTATCTAGTGAGATGGCTCATCAGGGAAGAGTACCTGCAAGACAAGCCTGGGAACCTGAGTTCTATCCTGGATACCCACATAAAAGTGGAGGCCGAGAACCAATCAGCACAAAGTTGTCCTCTGATCTCCTGAGAGCCATGGCACATGTGTCCACACACTCACTGTGTCCTTTCACACACATCATAAACATGTTTCTAAAAGGGAATTTTTGTGTCTTACCTTTGACTTTGCAACTATTTCTGATACTTTTACCACAGGATCTTGAGTAAGACTTAATTTGTTCTGTGCATTCATCTTACTGTTCAACCAATTCATGGAGTCACTGATGTACTTTTCAGCTTTTTCCATTTCAGCAGGATCCAAATGATCATACCTTTCATCCTATTCAAAAAGTAATAAAATTGTAAAAGAAAGAGAAGTAACCGGTTTTTCCCAAATAATGGCTTATTGATAATTTCTCCTTAAAACATTCAAGTTCTTACTTATTACACACTTCATGTATATTGATGTAAAGATGCCACATATAAGATAATACAAGCTGAAGAGACTAGGATAAACTATAAAAACAGTGCAGACTTGCAAAGGACTCCCAGAAGAGGTCAGCTTTGGAGAAGAACCATCAGTAGAGGCCCTGCATTGGGCAAGAGTAGGATTTATACAGAATAAAGAGAAAGTAGGTGCACAGGTGTATCGTGAGGGAGAAAGAAAATTCTGAACATACCATAAAACTAGGTGGTGCATTTTTGACCAAAAAGAGAAAGAGAGAGAGAGAGAGAGAGAGAGAGAGAGAGAGAGAGAGAGAGAGAGAAAGAAAGGACAATGAAATCCTGTCCAAAAACCACAGATGCAGCTTCTCTCCATCTGGGAAACCCCCAAGAAATCACAGTACATCAGCAGCCAGCAGAGCAGAAATCAGCAGCAACTTAACATACCAGCAAGAGGATTTCCTGGCAAAGAGTATGGATTACATAGAAAATACAGAGTGAACAAGGAAAAAAAGAGGTGTTGAGGAAGGAGAAGAGGGCTATAGGACACACATGACATGAAAGCAGAAGGTGGTGAAGGGTACATGGATGTAGGAATTAGAAGGGGTAAAGGGGGGTCAACCCAAACAAATTTCCTTTGAAAATGCCATAATAAAACATAACACTGTATATGCTAATTAAAGTTTTTTTTTTTTAAAACAAAACAAAATTCTTTTACTGAATTTATTTTCCTTCAAGTTTTTTTGAGACTGGTTCTAACCTAGCCAAAGCAGGGCTTGTCCTGCTCTGCTGCCTTAGCTTCTTCAGCATTGATTAAACCCCAAAGTTAAAAAGGAGAACCATGAGGATGCCATTTTCTAAACTGTTAAGCTTTTCCAGTTTTCTTTGTAAGATTACAAATTATACATCATCACATTGGACTTGACTTCTAGGCTGCTACATTTTATTCAGTTTATCACTACCTCATGGATTAAGTTTTCTTTGCTAGTTATTTGAATTAATCAATATACATGCCTTGTAAAAATTATCTGTAGCCTGGAGCTGTTTGCGGAACTCAACTCTAACCAACTTGAGGCTATTTGTAAAGTCTGAAATCTCTACTACTACTATTTAATAAACTCCTCATTAAATCACCACCTACTTTTTGAAGTTTTCTCCATATCAATATATTTAAAAATGCAACCAATTCATATCAAAATCTTTGGAGTAATTTTGGCCTGTTATACCTTTTAAACAAGATAAATGCAAAAACTCTGATCACTTTTGGCCCATCATCATCAGGTTTGAGCTTCCATCATTTCTTGACTGTTACTTCTGTTATATTCTAACATCTTAACCAGTCTACTACGAGATTCTTCATAAACCAGGTCAAGTCATAATTGCTTCTATGCTCTAAAACCTCCAAGCTACCTGTACCAGAATCTTAAACTTCCACAACAGCTCAGATGAGGCCTTCTGTGATCAGGCATCTGTCCTCTCCCCAGGTTTAAGTCACACTGGCTCTAATGTTTCTTTTGTATGTTCCCCCAAGGGTGTGTGTTAGGGAGGGAAGCATATTTAAGGGTCAGAGGGCAACCTACCGGAGTCAGGTCTTTCCTTCAATCATGTGTGACCTTAGGATTAAACTTAGGTCATCAGGTTCTGTGGCCTTTATGCACAAAGTTATCTCACAGCTCCCCAGTTTGTTTTCAAGACCATTTCTTCTCCATACATTCTGAGCCCTGGCTTCCCTTAATTTTCTTCTGACATGTAGATCTCTCCTTGGTCTGCCCTTTTCTCTGACAGAGCTCCTAGAGGTCCCTTATTTTCTCCACTTTCCCCTTTATTAGCACTTTATTTTCCAACTGAAGCAAATGAAACCAAACAGGCCAGTATTTCTGTTTGCTAAAGTCCAGGACCGGCAAAACATCCTGGTACGTAATTAGAACTCACATGCCTAATCAAAAGTAAAGTCTTAAGTTTCCTTTGGATGATATCTCTCTTTTTTTTTTTTTTTTTTTTAGAGTTAGAGATTGATCTTTATTCAAAACTCTGATCTACCAAGTTAGCGTTTTCCACCAACTCAGGGAGCAGAGACCTTCACAGGCTTCACAATCTTTTGTTTAGGTGCTGCTTTGGTAGGGGCCTTGGCAGCAGCCATTGCTGTCTTCTTGGACGCCTGCTTAGCCTTTTTTGCTTCCTTGGCAGCCCTGATAGCCTGTTCCCGCTGAGCTTTCCTAACTTTGGGTTTCTGATTCCTCTTGGCCATTATATCAGCAAGAGATGCACCAGTGATAGCTCGCTGGAATTTGACTGCACGGCGGGTTCTTTTCTTTTGAATTTCTTCTGACTGGCCCTTCTTGTGTTTTCTTCTGTAGAGGACAGTCCAGTTTATCTGCCGAGGACTCCTTTTGGAAAGGAACTCGGACTCGCATTTTGCATTAAGAAACTGGAAAACCTTCCCGTCGGTCCTGGAGTAGCACCGCCCGTGTCCGGAGTAGATCTTGTAGCCGCTGAAACTGCACAGCTCGACCTTCATGGCGGACGCTGCCGGCCAGCCGGAGGGAAGATGGCGAAGAGCTCCTTTGGATGATATCTTAAACCCACACTCGAGACCAGAGTCTTGAGTCAGAGGAGCACCAACCATGCCAGGAACTATACCAGATTTGAAATATGCTTGGTATTTTGTCTGCCTCATTCTTTACTTTTCCATTATCCATATATTCTGTTTGTGACTATGCAGGCAGAATGGGCTAGCCAAATTACAAACGTTCTTTTACAACACACACAAATCTTCTAAAATAAAGCTGACAGCAGCTACCTGAGTTTGACTCCTGCCTCCTATCATCACTAGCTGTGTAAACAAAGAATTAAATTGTATCCTGTATACTGGAAAGCTATATAGACACTGAGAGCTGTATACGCACTGACAGCACCTACTTGAGTTTGACTCCTGCCTCCTATCATCACTAGCTGTAAACAAAGAATTCAATTGTATACTGTATACTGGAAAGCTGTATAGACACTGAGAACTGTATACACACTGACAGCAGCTACTTGAGTTTGACTCCCGACTCCTATCATTACTACCTGTGTAATCCAACAAGTTGCTTGAACATCCAGATCTTCTCATAGGCGAACTGGGACAGCAGGATTCGTTGTTCATAGGTAAGAAATACCCTGGTGAGAACTGTGTGGGACAACCCACTCACAGTGCTTGAGATTTACTAAGTGCTAGAATGTAAACTTTAGGGATGATGCCATGCCTGAATGGTTCTGATGTTGCTCTCTCCTGTATACAGATGCAGTGTTAACATCAATGATCAAAAGTGGGAGATAACTGCGTATGTAAGTAGTGACCAGTAAACCTGACCTCATGGGACAACTTCAACAAGATGGCCTGTTTCTCTTGAGTTTTCTGGAACAGGGCTGTATCTACTTGTCTGCTGCAATATGACAACAGCAATGAAGAAGTGAACAGACACAGGGAAAACTAAGGTATAAACCAATAATTTCTTCAACAGTTTGCTAGGCCTGACTAGTTACTTACTGTTCCATCCAAATGAACACATGATGTATATATATTACCCTACCTGAAGCTTCAGAACAGTGAAGAGTTAAGAGAGGTTTGGGTGTGTACAAAGAACAAAAGGAGATTGTGGATAAACGACAGATAAAGATTAACAACAATTTAGGCAAAGAAAAAATAAAGTCTGTCAAGGAAGACCCTTTTCTCATGTAATAAACACACAAAAAGAAAGCAATGGACTTAGTCACTGGAACAATTTAAAGCATGGCTTCAGGGAAATCTAAAAGGTGAAAGCCTCAGATTAGAAAGGTCCTGGAGTTCTCCACAGTAATTCTTCACTGCGGGGCTGTAAGTTTGGTGTGCTTGCTCTCTTTGGAGCTGAGGACTTCTCCAGGCACCACACACCCTTCCTCCTCTGCAGCTGCCGCCCTAGCCCCGTACCTTGTTTCTGTGTGCTTCTATCACTTTCAGGACAAGCTGAATCTTTTTGCCCAAGTCGTTTAAAGCTTTGGGCCTCTCTTCATGCTCCACATACTTCATTTGAATGGGCTGGCCATATTTCTATTAACATAAGAAACATTGAAAAGAATGAATAGTTCTAACAGAATAAATTTATTTCTCCCTTACAGGATGATAAACAGGCAAAGACAATAGCTAGACAAAAATATGTCTTTTCTATTTTCCCACAAACAAATGTATTCCAGTGGCCCTCATCCTAATTTAACCCTTCTTTTATCTAAAAATTTACCTCTTGACTATTTTCAAACCCCAACATCTAATCCAAACTGTCAATCCTTTCAAAGCAAGGTGCTAAAACTCTGTAGAACCATTTGAAAAAAAAAGTAAGGACTACTCTGCTGCATATGGAATTCACAAATTTAAAACTTGTTTTCAAATTTTATTTTTGATACAGAGTTTCTCTGTGTAGCTCTGGCTGTCTTGGAAATCACTATGGAGACCAGGCTGGCCCAAACTCACAGAGATCTACCAGCTTGTGACTCCCAAATGCTAAGGTTAAAGGCATGCACCACCATTGCAGGCAAAATGAACCAAACTAAATAACAATGCTTTTGCATCATAATTTTTACAAGACTAAAATGTTTCAAACATTAATATTCACTTATTACTTAAAGCAATTTACTAACCTTTAGCTCCTGAAGCTTATCCACATAAATTTGTTTAGGTTGGTCCTCTCCTTCTTCATAAAGCCAATTTTCTGTGTCTTCCAATAATGCAGATAGTTTATTCATGTCCTAGTTATACAGTTAAGAGACATTAATTACAAATGCCTTAGAAATAAAAGTAATTAAGGAAAGAGAGGCTTTTAATTTCAGTACCATATTCTTCTGACCTTTTCATAAACATGTATTTCACTATCCTTCAACTTGGAAAAAAAAACTAAGAACCATCAAGAAAAATTAACAATAATAAATTTCATGATTTTTTTTAAAAAACATAATTCTAACTAGGATATTCAAATAAACATTCAATATAGTTCTTACAACTTCAGACTTACTTCTGGAGTGATGAACTTTTCATAGACAGTGCCCAGTTTGTCTCTGAAATCATAGACGTATTCTTCAACGGCATTTTTAGCATCATTTCTTTCCTTCTCTAACTTATCCTGCATTATCATCTTCCCCTATTCAAAAAGTTTCAGATTATCATAAAAATATGCGTTAGAGAACTGTTAGTCAAAATCATGATACCACTTCATACCTTCTAAGAGGCGCATATTACAACAACAACAGGTAAGACTCTTTGATGCTGTAGAGAAACTGAACTCTTGGTGCACTGGTGAGAATAAAACATTCTACAGCTTTGGACCACAGGAACAGTGTGAAGGTTCCTCAGAAATAAATATAAGCCGGGTGTAGTGGCATATGCCTTTAATTCCAGCACTTGGGAGGCAAAGACAGGCAAATCTCTGAGTTTGAGGCCAGCCAGAGCTACATAGTAAGACCCTGTATCAAACAAACAAACAAATAAATGCAGAATAATGACTTCCCTCAAACCTAGCAGTTCTACTACTGAGTACATACCTAAATGAATGGAAATTAGACACTCCACAGATATTTGTATGCCAGTGTTTAGTGAGCCATTATTAATTAGCACCAGAAGTATAAACTGAAGCATCCATTAACTGATGAATGGATAAAGGATATATGTACACATACAACAGAACTATAAGGCTTAGAAAGGAAGTTCTATGTATGTGTGAACCCTGAGATCATGCCTAGTAAAACAAACCAGGTAGAAAAGAACAGGCATTATCTGATGAAATTTATGTGAGCTGTCTAAACAAGGCAGACTCTTAGGAGACAGAAAACAGAAGAGTGTTCAATGAGGACTGGGAGGAAGGAGTGGAAAGTTTGAATTCCATGCTACTCCATTTCTATTTGGGACAGCTGGAAGCTCTGGAAATAGTGGTGACTGTTATATAATACCAAATGTGATAAATACTAACACTGTATACTGGAAAATGGTTCTAAGATGTCAAATTTTAAACTACATGTATTTTTAAAAGTATTCATATATTCCTAAACCACTGACTTGTATGCTTTGAGTGAATGAAGTATATGGTATGTGACTTACACCTCAGTAACAGCTTTTGAATACATCTATGCATGTTCAAATTCCAGCATCTCCATTTATTACTTGGGGATAGCAAAAGTCATCTACTCTGAGTTTTATTACCCTAAATTGTCTAATTCCACGATGCTGTGATTAAGATCTATTGTAACTCACATGCAGTATCTTCTTCCACACATGATGCACTACCCTTGGTCAGGGATATATTAACAGTAGTTGTGATGCTGAGCTTTGGAAATCGACCACCTGAATCCAAATATGAAGGTTCTTGTCTGACTTGGGGCATACTGTACACAGGCTTCAGTTTTCTCATCTGTAAGCTATAACCCTTCCCAGGACCTACGAATTATCTTTGTTTTGAGAACATGGAACATGTTAGCAAGAACTATTAGGATCAAAAGCAAGGAAAGAATGAAATAATTCTGGAACAAAATTTTCACTTAAAAGCACCAGTTTTCTAAATATAAGGATCCCTTGACAAGCTGTGATACAATGGCCTAGATTTAAAAAGAGACATTTAAAAAAAATTAATGAAAGTCTCATTTTACACATAAACCTACTATGGTTTCCTATGGTTTGTTCCTTTGGAAAAATTAGGCTCTAAACATATACATTTTGAGTATTACATGAGATCTTTAGGAATTATTATGCATGAATAGAGTATTGTTAATAAATAGGTATTATGCATTGGTATTTGAAGAAAGGAAGCCTTATAAAATCAAAATCTCTTCACCTAATGATGGACAGTGAACAGTTGAATGCAATATGTGGTGATATTTTATTTGTGCTTTAATAAATAAAGCCCGAGAGAAAGATCAGAGGAATAGGACAAACCATGATCTAACCTCACCTCACCAACTCTACAGATTCCAAAGAGAGCTTCTTCCTGTATAATCACGTTTATATGCCTTTTCTGTTCTGTTCTCTCATTGGCTCTCTTAGCCCAGCTACATCACTTCCTCTTCCTACACAGCTCTGTCACTTTCTGTCTGTCTGTACAGACCTCCAGACATCTATGGTTGGTACTGGGATTAAAGGCACGTGTTACCATGCTTGGCTCTGTTCCCTAGTGTAGCCTTGAACACACAGAGATCCTGCCTGCTAAGTGAGAAGATTCAGGGCATGTGTTATCTCTGCCTGACTTCTTTGTTTACCTATAATGGCTGGCCTTTTTCCTCTGATCTCCAGGCAAGCTTTATTTATTAAAGCACAAATAAAATATCACCACAGCAATGTTTCAAATACTGACCTAATGCTTGTATAAATTAGGAACCACCATTTCAATATAAAACTAGAGGATAAATATAATCACTTCATACAGTTACTGCTAAAGAAAGAACTCACTTCTCAAGAGACCGGAACTAAACATGAAAATAGACAAGAGCATGTAAGAAAATGTTAATAATGACAACAGAGTTGAAAACATTCTTTTTTTTTATAATTTATTTAATTTTATTTTATGTGCATTTGTGTGAGGGTGTCAGATCCCCTGGAAATGGAGTCACAGACAGTTGTGAGCTGCCATGTGGGTGCTGGGAATTGAACCCGGGTCCTCTGGAAGAACAACCAGTGCTCTTAACACCTGAGCCATCTCTCTAGCCCCAAGCTGTATTTTTTTTTTTTTTTTTTTTGGTTTTTCGAGACAGGGTTTCTCTGTGTAGCTTTGCGCCTTTCCTGGAACTTGCTTTGGAGACCAGGCTGGCCTCGAACTCCCTGAGATCCTCCCGCCTCTGCCTCCCGAGTGCTGGGATTAAAGGCGTGCGCCACCACTGCCCGGCTGAAAACATTCTTAATCAATACTCTGAACAGTCTTTAAGTAGCACACATTTAAAAGAGGGGCCTTACTAGGCCAGAGGAGATGTTACATGCCTGTGATCTTAAAACTCAGAAGGCAGAGGAAGAAGGATCTGACCAGCCTGGGCTATATAGCAAAATCCTGCCTCAACACCTCCCCAAAACAAAACACAAAGAATTCCCCAAACCAAGCCAAAATAAAAAGGGGGCTGTTCCTATTTTATTACTATTAAAGACAATAAAAGATGGAGTTGGGGGGATGGGACATGTTTATAATCCTAGCACTTAGGAGGTAGAGGCAGGAAATCAGGAGTTCAAGGTTATCCTTAATTACATAATGAGTTTGAGGCCAGCCTAGGCTACATGAGCCCTGATTTTTAAAAAAGGGGAGGGGGATTGTGAATCAGCCTCAGTTTTTCTCTATAGTGAACACTGTTTTTCATATAACTAAGATGAAAGTACTATATGGTACTAATACAGCTTACTAGTTTGATGATACTATAATTCCTTAATAATTGCAAACCAGATTGCCTAGATTTCAACCTCTGTCTTCAATACAGTATCAGAATGCTTTAACAATTATTCAACAGCAACTCCAACTTACATACCTCATTTTCAATGTAGCTATTGAGAAGATCTTGGGTCAGTTGTCTGTACAGGCTACTTTGGATGGGTAGATCAATACTCTTGACTTTCCCTTTTTTAATAGTCTGATTTATGCGGTCTTGCTTGTCTGAAGGAGGTGACTAGAAAAGAAAATCAAATCAAAAGTGAAAATTTCTAAAACTAGCAAAGATAGAAGCAAAGCCAAACAAGCCTATTACCGTCTTCTGTATTTAAAAACAAAACTGGAAGGGTTGGGATGCAGCTCAGAGTAAAGTGTTTGTCTAGCATTCACAAACTCTGCTCTCAATTTCTACTATCACCCCCATGCTTCCACATAAAAAAACTAATACCGAGAGCCTTTTGTATTCTGTTTAATGCTAAATCCTTTCTACATTTGGAATATGGAGCTGGAAATCCAAAGCTGTAATGAACTACCACTTCACATACAATACTGTGGCTATAATTCATGACAAAGGAAAACAAATCAGGTAAGGGTATGGAGAAACTGGAATCTTTCGTATTAACTGTTGGTGCCATTATAAACTGTATAGTAATTGCTGCCAGTTTTTAAAATAACTGAGCCATTGTGATGGTTCATGGGGTACTTGTTGCTAAGCCTGACAACCTGAATACAATCCCCGGGACCCACATGCAAGTTGTCCTTTGACATCCACACAAGAATTGTGGCATACATACACACACACACACACACACACACACACACACACACACACACACACACACCCCAAAGCTAGCTGAGAGATTCTTCAAAATGCTAAACACTTAAATACTATTATGACTAGCAGTTTGTTGCTAAGTTAAGTGTCTAAGAAAATGAAAACATCCACACAGAAAACTTGTCAAAAGTAACATTCTCAACAGGAAAACTACACTGTAAATGTTCATCACTAGTAAATGGGTAAATTAGAATGTGGGATGCACTGATACAATGTAGTATTAGGCCATAACTAGAAATGAAATACTAACACATCTTATCACTAAGATGAACCTTGAAGCCATGCTTAATGTAAAAAGGCATCTTTAAAGGCATTTATCTGAAATTTCCAGAATAGGCAAATCTGTAGAGACAAAGTAGGCTAATGGTTGCCTGTGGCTGGAAGGGGAAGAATTTAGAGAAAGGGAGAATTGTAGCTCATGAGTACATGACTATTTTTAGGGCAAAAACTTCTCTAAAATTGTAATGATGCAGGTGTGAGGATCCAGAAACTACTGATTTTTACACTAAGTGGGAGAATTGTGTGACGAACCAGGTATACTTCAAACTCTTAAACAAAAACACACAATTCTGAGTAAAATGAGAAAGTAATAAAAACAGGTTTCCGGTTTTAAATAATTTTAAAAACAGGTTTCCGGTTTTAAATAATTCTAAAATCTAGAATTTAAAACCTCTAAGGAAAATAATCATACAGCTATGCTGTACAGATGGACTTCTGTACAGGGCAGAAGCGTTTCAAGATGGTACCATAGAGCTAAAGGTACTCACCTAGGCCACAGGAACATGACTTGTACGTGGCTGCTAGGAAGCAAACTCAGGTTCTTTAGAAGAGCAGTAAGCACTATTAACCATGAACTATCTCCTCAGACCTAATATCTATTCAGAGACGTGAATGGATGTAGGGGGGCTTAAAAAGTCAATGGAATCTGATGCTCTCAGGACAGCAGACATGGACAGTGATAGTATGAAGCCCATCAGCCCATCACCACAGCTGGCTCAGATACTCATACTAAAATATATTTAGCTAAGTATGGTCACACACACCATTTATTCCAATATTCTGGAAAGCAGAGGCAGAGGCAGGCAGATTTCTGTGAGCTCAAGACAGTCATCCTGGTCTACACAATGGATTCCAGGCTAGCCAGGGAATAAGGAGACCTTGTCTTCTATTCCCCAAAGATTTTTTTAAATATGATGTGACCAAAATTCCATGCAGAGCATTATACATTTAAATTCATTTGGAATTTCTCCATTTCTCCATTTCTCTGAGACTGTGTAATTTCTAACGAAAAAAAAATGCTATTAAAACATCTTTTTCCCTGTCAAAAGATAATTTTTCTTGTAATATTAAGTTTGGTTCTTTTAAAAGCTTTTAAGTAAGATTCTGAAATTTTGGTAGTAAGCTCTCTCTGCTTCTCATGGCACTGTAGTTTAAATTTACTAATAAGCACATTAAAGAGCAAGCAGCATGAAACACACACATCGGCTAGGCCATCTCGGCACATCTCAGCCAGATAGGTTAAGTAGTGCAGGCCTTTGACCCAGCTACTTGGGGAGCTGAGGAGGGAATGAACACCCTAAATGTGAGATAGTCCTGTACTACAACAGGAAACCTTGTCTAAAACAGACACACCCAAACAAGCAGACACAAAGCCCAGACCTGACAAAGCTCCAAACACACAACCACAAAAATAGGAAAGAAAACCTTCGCTTTGGCCCCTGTGTGGTCAATCTCCTCTTCTGGGGTGTGCTCAGCATGACCTTTTTGATGACCTCCTTCTTCTTGGTCAACTTGCATTTTGTCCTGGCAAAATATATAATGGACGGTATAAAGTTTCCTTTTTCCAGTAAAAAGCATAGCCCTACTCCCGTGTTGTGTGCACACTAAAGCAGCTCACTTTTCAAATGATAGTAGCAACAAACAGATTAACAAGTATAAATGAAAAGATCAGTTTGAAGCTGTGTAAACAGACCTTCTCATTCACCTTTTTGACCAAAAATTTGTAAAGAATATAGACAGCTGTTTTCAAACTCATAAATCAAGATTCAAAAAAATTAAGCTTTAAAAAAGGAGAATATTCAACTTGACATTAAAATATTATGGAACTGACTTTAGTTAGATGGAAATGTAGTGGAAAAGATGAGACTCAACTACACAATTCAGTTACATATTTTAAATTTATTTTTTATTGAAAATCATTTTTTCATACAATATATTCTAATCTCAGTTTCCCCTACATCTTTTCTTCCCAGATCCTCTCCACCTTCCCATCCTTCTAACTCCATGCTCTTTCTGTAACATATTTTTTTTGGAGATTTATTTATTATGTATACAATGTTCTGCCTGTATATATGCCTGCAGGCCAGAAGAGGGCACCAGATCTCATTATATGTGGGACTTGAACTCAAGGTCTCTGGAAGAGCAGTCAGTGCTCTTAACCTCTGAACCATCTCTCCAGCCCTCTGTTACGTATTTTAAATGTAAAAAATACCGAAATTAACCAAAACTCAGACGTCTTTGAAGCACTCAAATATAAACAGCCAAATGCGCTGTCCATTTGGCAAACAATCTTAAACAATAGATACATTCTTGTACCACCAACCTGTTGAAAGAAGTAGCCTAGAATATAGGAATTGTACTTTTTTGCTGTATCTGGACTTGAGCAAATATGGACTTCTCAGTTTTTCCAAAGAGAAAAACAGACCAAATTTTTTTTTCACTCCTGGGAGTTGAATCTAGGGCTTTGTGCATGCAAAACTACAACTCTACCTCTGAGCTACAGCCCCAGCCCTAGCCTTCAGGATCAGTTATGTTTTATATTCTAATTCTTCCCTTACAACTCAACAACTTCCCACATCATGACAAGAGGTAAAAAATGCAGTGCTGAGTTGTAGTCACAGAGGAACAAAATGTAAATATTAATGCAACATAGTAACAAAGAAAAAATGTTGGTGCTCTCTGCCTCCTACTTGTGGATGAAGATAGGACCTCAGCTGTCACTGCCACTATGTCTTTGCGCTGCTCTCACGGACTCTAACCCTCTGAATCTGTAAGCCAATTAAAGAAAGGACTCACCCACTGAGCCATCTCTCCAGCGCTCACCCTACTTTTTCTTCTAAGAAAAAATGTAAGTGAAGCTCTTCCTCTGTAGTCAAGGCTGATTTTAATCTTTCTGCAAAATTCCTCTTCCTGAGAACCAGGATTATAAGCATAAACTATTCAATCTGTGTGTGTTTGTGTTTGTGTGTGTGCACGCGCGCACGGACGTGCACACACACTTTTAGTTGGAGGTGTCATTCCTCAGGCACCATTTATTTATTTATTTTTTTAAACAGGGTTTTTCACTGGGTATAACTCAACAAATAGGCTAGGCTACATGGTAAGGCCCAGGGGTTCATTTTGTCTTTCCTCTCCAGGCTGAGCCTGTACCATCAAGCTCAGCTTTTAAAATGTGGATTCTGGGTTTGAACTCAGGTCCTCATGTTGTAAGAAGCATTCACCAATTGGGCTATCTCCGAGCCCTGAAAACCCATTCTTAAATGCACAAATAAAGGGAAGGACTTGGGAATGCCTCCAAATGTGACTAGAAAAAAATACATGATAAATGCAATTGACAATAACATACAAATTGTGCACATAAAAAGGTAAACATTTTCTGCAAGTCAATAGAATCAAGCCCCCCACCTCCCACCCAGAGCTGGGCACAGAGACAAGGGTGCACACCTGTAATTTCAGCATTATAGAGGTGGAAGCAGGAGGATGAGGAGTGCGTTTGGCCTCAACTACACAGACAGTTTAAGAACAGTCTTGGTAGCATGAGAACTTGTCTCAACAGTTTCCTAATACTCCTTCCTCTACAGTATATTAGCAGTAAATTCAATGACTCATCAATCTTTCATAAAGTAGAACATCTACATTTGAATGTCACTGGAAATATCCATTTCTTTAACTGCCACAGATATTTTATAACTAAATCCTGAAAAAAATTTAAAAAACTACTTAAGAAGTATGCTTTTAACCCCAGAATGCCAGGAGGCAGAGACAGGTGGATATCTATGAGTTTGAGGCCACTTGGTCTACATAGTGAGAACCTGTCTACAAAGAACAAAAATAGGTGTTTAGCTCAAAAGTTACTCCTAGTTTTATCTAGCTAGAAATAAAATGCATGTTTTAAAGAATTTAACAGTGGATTTCAAAACTTACATGTCCCATATAAGCTATGAAAGATGCCTTGGCCCCTGTGAAGTACGTTACAAGATAGCAGGTGTAGACTATTCTCAAACCAAGTCTTCCGTAGTATGGTAATGAAGACAAGGCGCTGCAGAAGAAAGCCCGTGCTAATCTGAGGAAATAAGGTATTCACTATGGGGTGCTGTCATGACCCCGACGAGAGGAACCAGATATGGTTTCCACCTACCACGTCATCTTTGCTTTCATTCTTGGATGAGACTTCTGTCTCCATAGCAGCGTCACTGTGATCGCCTTCCAGATTCTGCTTCTCGATCACTGATGCACTGGCCACACTGAAGATTCCATGGATGTTAATACGGACTTTAACTTTTACTTTAGAACTATCACCGTCAGACTGTGGGAAGACATTCTGAATAGTGAAGTTCCCTTAAGGAAACAAAGCTTTGATTAGTTAGTGTATTAACCTCAGATCAAACTCACTAAAGGTTTTAGTAACTTAATCATCATCTTTAAGGCATATGTAAAAATAGGATTAAATTCTGGATGATTGCTATGGAACACATGCTTTGTTCAGATTATCCTTACAGCAGGAACAAAGCAGGTGTGAAGACTCGCACATTCAGTAATTTGCTAGGAAAAATGTGATTTCACTACTCTTTTTGTATTTGTCATGTGCATGTGCACACACTTTCACATATATGGCACCATATGAGTGTGGAGGTCAGAGGACAACCTTCAGGAGTTGCTTCTTTTCTTCTCTCTCCATGGGAATCATCTGGGGATTGAACTCAGGTCATCAGGCCTGATGGCAAGTGCTTTTATCACACTGAGCCATCTTGCCAAACCAAGAGCTGGGATTCTAAACTAAGGACAATTTCATTTGATTCAAAAGCCAATGAATGACTTTTAAGTAACTTATAATTAAAAGACAAAATAACAAAATCTAATTTCTGAGTTTGAAAACTTTATATATATATATGTATATATGTATTTAAATTTTGTTATGATTTTTATAATTATTGTTCATGAAAAATTATTGTTCATGAAAAGCATTTCCAAACAGTAAAAGCAAATTATCCTATACCAAAATTAGTGGTATCAACTAAAGAGAGACTAACAGGCCAAGAGTTAAGACAGGCCAATGAACAAGTTTGGATTACAGTTTTACAGGTTGGGTTATACACCAACACTCATTCTATGTCCCATGCAGTACTTCACAAGGTAATAGTATTGGTAGATAGGTTTTTGGTTCTGTTTTTGTTTTGTTTTTAAGGGTCTATTAAATTGAAGACTGGTTTCCTTATCAAAGGAGACAATTAGAAAAGGTCTTACATACATACATGGGAATGTCATGTGACTATGAAGATACTTTTTACAGTCCTACAAAGAAACAGACCTTTCTTCTTAAAAATTAATTAAGACTAGTCAAGTGCAGTAGTGAGAAGAGGGGAAAGTGTGGAACAGGAGTTCAACCTGCAACTGACTGTGAACACTCAACTGAGATAACTCACTACCTTCAGACCAGCTGGAAACACTTTCTTATAGCTCAGTTCAAAACTCTAGCTCACAATGGAGACAATACACATCCATTGCTGAAGCCATCTAGCTGGTGGACGTGTAGCTGCCATAAAAATAGTGTAACTTGCAGTAACTTCTACTGCTTTAGTAATTGCTTTCAAAGTTTATTTTCTCCTTTTTAGTCTATTAATATGGAAACTTTAAAAAATATTTTAAATATTACAAAATCATGTTTTATATTCTATCATTTAAACAAACAGATAAAGTGGACATCACAATTCTCTATTTGCTCTTTCATATCACTCAACAATACAATTTCAGAGTTACATAGTCATGTTAATAATACAAACACAATTTGCCTAAAAGTGTTTTTCCATTAGCCAACTTTGACATAAACTTTTCAGGCCAATTTTAGAATACTTAGAATACAGAGTCCATGAAATCAGAAGTAGGACTAGTTGGGAAGAGGAAGAGGAGTGTTAGAAAGAGAGGCTAATGGAGTTGAATATGATCAAAGCACTCTGCATATATGGATATACATACCAAGAGGAAAATGTCATAATGAAACCCATCATCCTGTACAAAGACTATACACTAATAAAAATATAGAAGCCAAAACAAATGAGGACTATTCAAACATGCTACTTTTCTAGAAATAAATTAAGCATAAAAAGTTCAGTTACAAAAAAGTACAAATTTCTTTAAGATCAAGATTAATTTAAATGAAATGTTAATTTTTGCTTACTTAATTCTATATATTGTTTATTTGCTTTTTTTTTGTTTGTTGTTTTTTGAGACAGGTTTTTTTTTTTTTTTCCTGTAGCCTTGGCTGATCTGGATCTAGCTCTGTATACCAGGCTGGTCTTGAACTCATAGAGATCCACCTGCCTCTGCCTCCCAAGTGCTGGGATTAAAGGCGTAAGCCACCACCACCTGGCTATATATTGTTTATTAAAGGTTAAAAACTTAAGAAATTTTTTTGTTGTCTTACCAATTCTTGGGTCAGGATAAGGCACTTCATGCAAATTAGTATAAAATGCTTCTAGTTCAAATGGTTCCTTCTTGTGGAAAGTTATGACCTTTGAGAATGGGGCAGGATGGTTCTTAGAGAAGACTTCACATTCCCTAAAGTGCAGGTAGAAAAGACATTCATTGAAATAAAGCAAATAGGTTGCCTGGGACCCAATGTCAGAATAGACTTCACTCTTAATTCATGAGCAGTAATTGCAAAGATGAACATATGTAAGGAAAAACACCTATGGATTTTTTTATTTTCAACAAGTTAACAATTTAAGGCTTTCAGAACATCTAACGTAACTCATCGCTGTACACTAAGAAAAAAAATTACCAGAGAATATGCACATTGTGTGGTCATATGTAGGAAGGGTAACTCTCAAACACTTGACCATATGCAGCCCTTTGAATTACAGCCCCCATTAAGTACTCTTATTTGGAAATAAATTTACAGAAGGGTACAGATATAAAAACATTACAAAGAGTATCTGTATATCAGTTTCCTAGACTTGCTACTGCCCTTTGCCCTATTTGTCTTGTCATTTGAATGCACATATTCCATGTGTGCATTTTGTACTAAACAAATTGAAAGTGACACATTTGTGTTATTATTGCAAATACTTCAGTATGCACTTCCTAAAAGGGAAAGTCTCTGAAGTTTTAATCATATTTCAATTGTTCATCTTCTGTCTGTTTATAGTGTTTTCTTCCCTATAGAGCAGGAAGTTTTAAATTTGCAGTAATCTCTATTCCTTAAAGAATGTAACAGGAATGTTTATGACTATTGCTTATGGCTGTTTATTATATAACATCATATCACCTCAGTCACTCAAGGGTTTAAAATACACAGATGAAACTTTTCTCCCTAGTTTTCAGGAGCCTACTAATACTTTTTTCGTTCTTATTGTGGTCGCTACCACATATGCTTTTTAGTTTAGCTCTCTCTATAGTTTGAGATTTTTCTTACTTACATATTTAACTGAAACTGAACTCTATATAACCGTTCTTGACTTAAACCATATTAAGACAGGTCACCCAAATGCTCTGTACAACATTCATATAGGGCTGTGTCTTTGTTAGGTTTTCTATTGCTGCAATGAAACAACATGACAAAAAGCAAGTTGGGGAAGTAAGGGTTTATTCAGCTTCCACTTCCTCATTGGTTTACCATCAAAGGAAGTCAGGGCAGAAACTCGAGCACTTCAGGAACCTGGAGGCAGAAGCCATGGAGGAGTGCTGTGTACTGGCTTGCTCCATATGGCTTGCTCAGCCTGTTTTCTTACAGAACTGAGGACCATCAGCCCAATGGGCTGAGCCCTACCACATCAATCACTAATTACGAAAATGCTCTACACACTGGCCCACAGCCTGATCTTATGGAGGCATTTCCTCAATTGAGGTTCTTTCCTCTCAGATGACTGTAGTTTGTGACAAGTTGACATGAATCTAGTCAGCACAAGATGATAGTCTGTATTTTTGAAATTTGTACAAAAAAATTCAGTTTCTTGGGTATAATGACATACAGAACACAGAACAAAAGCAAGTTCACAATGTAGATACAGTTTTACTCATTGTATAAGCTATTTCAAAATGGGAGGCAAGTAAAATATTTTACAATTTTTTATTTTGGTAGGGAAGCAAGCTCTTTACATGCTGGGTAATTTTCAGAAACAATGTAAATGTCAACAGAAGCACAAAAATATGATTTACATTAAATTCTTAATAGATTATATAATACATAGTAAATAAAATATTATTTCTATTTTAACTAGATGTATAAAAATGTTTTTATTACATAGTAATAAAAGCATTCTTTGTCTTTTTAGACAGGGTCTCCTGTAGCCCCTGTTGTCCTTTAATATTCTATATAGCTGAGCACACTGAACTTTAATCCTCCTGTCTCTACTACCTGGGATTACAGGCATGCTTCAACACACTAGGTCTATTTATGTGGCACTGAAGATGGAACCCATGACTTTGTACATGCTAGGTAAGTGCTCTACCAATTGAGTCATATCAGGGAGAAAAAAATAGTACTCCCTCCCTTTTCTTTTTTAACAATAATTATGTTAAATTTAAAAGTATAGGGGAAAATGGAATAAAATGTGTAATATTGTGTTAATAGCAATGTAAGGAATTTTTTAGATATTGTACTAAACACTAATTTGCTAGTATGAGTCAAAATGGGTGCTTATGCTCTGGCTAAGCAATTTCACTCTGTTATTTTATAGACAGAACAAACATACCTGTACATGGTTATATGTATAGCAATGTTTCTAAACACTTAACTGGTGTTTAGCAAAATGTGATTTTTCCTAGTGCTTTGGCTCTTTACTACAGCATATTCAATTGTTGCAACAGTTTTCTGTTTTCTGATGTGGGAAAGTCCTATGCAGTATCTTTTTCAAGAACCAACTGCATGGGAGCTCCACAGATGACTCTTTATGTACTCAACAGGTGCATACTTTTATTTATGATTATTCAAAGAACAGGCATAGGCAGATACACTTGCTGCTAAAAATAGCTAATATGAATTAACAAATATGCCCATCATGGTTTATAAGTTAATTTTTATAGTCTCTTTTCTCTAATACTATTTGACACATTTAACAAATTTTATAATTACTTATTTGTATTTTATGAACATTTGTGTTTTGTCTACATATGTATTTGTGTGAGAGTGTCAGATCCCCTGGAACACGAGTTACAGACAGTTTTGAGCTGCTATATAGATGCTGGGAATTGAACCCAGGTCCTCTGGAAGAGCAGCCAGTGTTCTTATCAGCTGAGCCATCTCTCCAGCCCCACATTCAACAAAATTTTAAGATTTTAAGAAGCATAAATTCCACTAATTTAGAAAAAGCAGATTTGATTAGTTGAAGATTTATGATAAAATATAGTTAAGATTTTAAAAATAACTTACCCAGTCCCTTCTTCAAAAGAAGTCTTCCACCTTAATGTGATTGAGTAGGGAACAAGGTCTGTTATCGAAAATTCACGCACTTTAAATGCTGGTGACAGAATCGCACACTGAAAGTAAGAAATGCACTTAAATGAGCAAGTATAAATCATATTCTAGATTAACCATAAATAAATTGCTAAGTGATGTCTTTATAGTAAAAACTGTGAAGATTTTAAAATTTGTTACATCTTTGTAATGACAAAAGAAAGTTTAAAAGGGCCCACACTATTTTATGTGATTTTACAAAAGCTAATCTAAGAATAGCTTTAAATTTCCAAAAGGAATTATTAATGAACATCATCTCAAGAATTCAGTTTTCAGTACATAAACACATTATCCTAACACTGTTTAAAAGTACAAGAGGAACCAGGCATGGTGGTACATGTTTTTAATCCCAGTACTTTGAAGGCAGAGGCAGGTACACACACACACACACACACACACACACACACACACATACACAGTATATGTGATGGGGGAGCAAGGGAGAGAAAGAGAGATATAGACACAGACAGACAGACAAGACTGACCAGGAGTAGTTACTTTCAGTATTCTGTTGGGATGAGCAGGACAGGTAAAAGACCTGTCACAGACACTGTGCAAACTACAAATTAAAGAGTTCTAACCTGCAATGCACACCCTCTGGCGACGGCTTCATCAGCATTGAGGGTGGTACTGATGTCTTTCAGGAAGAACCTAGTGACCTGCTCCTTGACTGCAGGAATCCGAGTGGCCCCTCCTACAATTTCTATGCTGTTTATGTCTTCACGTTGTAAGTCTACAATTAAAATGTATTTCAGTGAAAGAATGAGAAGTCTTCAAAATTTGGGCACACTAGTTGTCAGAATGTACTTTATATGTAAGTGGGTTTTTTATGTGCTCAAAAGAAGATAAAAAAAAAACCCAGTAATTATGGAAAAGGCAAATTGTAACATTGTCTGCATGACACCATTGACCACAGTCCAGATGTCAGTGACAAGGACAGAACAAGTTCCTCATGAGCTTAGAAGCTCTCCAGAGGTTATCACCTTTCTCATTTTCACCTTCTAACTTTATTAAAACTATTTTACAAGTTATCTTCAAGACAGCAATTATGTCCTCATCTCTTCTCATTTCTAATATAATCCCCTACTAAAATCTTATATAATTACATAAAACACCCAAACTACAGTTGGCAGGTTTATGATGTGAACAATATAATAAGGAAGGAAAGTGCTCAGGAAGCTGGAATGCCAGTGTCCTGTTCTACAAATGAATGAGTTATGATTTCTTTTCAAAATGAAAACTATGAGACTTGTAAAGAAAGTTGGTCATTTCCACTTACTAGCTTGGTCCATTACTGCTTTTAAAGGTGGTTCAACCCTGGCCAAGAGCGAAGCACACAACTGTTCAAACTGAGCCCTGCAAAAATGAAATAAAAATCATTAGTATGGGGAAGAAAAGCACATACCCTCTAAAACAACAGACCTGGGGAAAATCCCAACATGACCCAAAGAGAAAATCAGCAAGCGCTCTTCGAAGTGAAAACACATGGTACCTGTTCATCTTACTAGAAACATCAAGGTCATTCATGAAACACTCGATGTTCAAGGGAAGATCTGATGCATTTGCACTCATCAGCTTCTTCAGTTTCTCGCACTCCTGATACAGCCGCAACAAGGCCCGAGAGTTCTCCTTGACATTTATCTTATATTTGGTCTTGAATTCATCACAGAAGTAGTCCACTAAAGCCTCATCAAAGTTCCTGCCACCCAGATATGGGTCAAAGGTAGTAGCCAACACCTGTTTAGTTGAAAGAAAATAACTAAGTTTTCCAATACAGTGTCTTACTTAGTTACTTTCCTATTGCCATGGCAAAACACCATGATCAAGGCACCTTGTAAAAGAAAACATTTAATTTGGGCTTACAGTTTCAGAGGGTGAGTCCATGACCATCACGGCAGGAAGCATAGAGGCAGGCAGGTACCATGCTACAGCAGAAGCTGAGGTATTTTATCTTAAGACACAACCACAAGGCAGAGAGAGCTAACAGTGACACACCTCCTCCAACAAGGCCACACCTCCCAATCCTTCTCAAAAGTTCAACCTTTCAAACCACAACATTCTATTCCCTAGCCTCTATAGGCTTGTGGCCATATCATGAAACAAAATGCATTTGGTCCAACATCAACAGTCCCCTGGTTTTTCACAGTTTAAAAGTCCAGTCTCTTCTGAGACTCAAGGCAACCTCTTAATTGTAATCCTCTGTAAAATAAAAAGCAAAAAGGCAAATTACATACATCCAACAAACAATGGCTCAGAATTATACATTACCATTCCAAAAGGGGGCACAGTGAGGAAATACTGGATGAAAGCAAGACCAAAATGCACGGGGCAATCCCCACATCCTGAAACTCCACATCTCAGGTCAAAGCACACGGACGGACGGCTCTGCCCTTTCAGCTTCGCTGTCTACAGCGTACTTCTCTGGTTTTTAGGCTGGCTCCACTCTGTACAGAGCAGTAGCTGGGCACTTACACTCCGACTCACAAACAAACGTGGGGGGGCAGGGTAAGGAGAGTGCAAAAGCAAGCACAAACTGGGAATGGCACAGGCTTCTGAATCCTCAAAGCTCACCCTCAGTGACATATCTCCTCCAACAAAGCCACACCTCCTAATTCTTCCTAAACAGTTCCACCAACTGGAGATCAAGTATTTAAAATTTAAGACTCTGAGAGCCATTTGCGTTCAAACCATCACACACACACACAAACCCAAAAGTCAAAAACAAAATAAACAAACAAAAAACCCTTCTAAAACTGTAAAAATAAAGGCTAACCAAAAGAACTTGTCAAATCACTGGGTGCCAAATGTTGGGTTAAATTATCCCTTGTACCTGGCTCACATAGCTCCCTCCTCTGTTACCTGCCCTATAGTTACACAACTCTATCACACAACTATAAGAGAAGAACAATTCTAATTCTGAAACAACTGAGTGAGAACTAAAATGTCATTAGCTTACATTCATTGGTTCTCTAACACACTGGACCCTAAATGAAGTTTAAGGGCAAACAACAGTTCTAAGTGCTTAATGCAGACGAGCAAAGCACCCAAGAAAAGATCAAAAGACTGGATCACAGTATTGTATGTAACCAGTCAATTTCCAGATTAGCAGTTAAGCCTTTGGCTATGATCTTTAAAAAAAAAAACAAAAACCTACTTATTTTTACAATGTAAAACAAAAGAATAAACAAAAGAGTAAAAATGGAAAACAGAAACAGAATAACCTGTTTCCCACCAGACTACCAGCTGGCCACTGTAATGTAGGCCTGTAAGTCAGAGAACTCCAGGATGTCTACCCCTCTCCTTGAGAAAAATGGTTCCTAACCTTATGACTAGGGAGTTGCTCTTCTGCAGGCCTGGTCCTCAGCAGTTTCTTCTAAGATGGGCAGTACACTAACATCAAGTACTATGGACGGTATTTTTCCAACAGACCGACACAGACTCTATGAATACAGACTACTCTCAAGGTCCAGTGCTGTCCAGCATGAAATGCAAACTCATTCTGCCATGTGATGATGCAAGTGTGTATTCAACTAAGAATCGGGGCACATCCTTAATCAACTTCAACAAGACTCAGTGATGAAAAAAGTATAGATGACTCCACCTAAAGTTAGCTAGAAAAAGAAGAGGGAAATCCACCTTTGTTACTACGTTAAAATTAAAGACCAGAGGCCAGGAATTAAACTAACGTTTACAAAAATACTATCATTTCATTACATGCCATTTCCTTTGTTTTTCTGATTATAAGGATTTCATTATAGTACCACAAAGTACAAAACAAAAGGTGCAAGTGATGGATGCACAAAAAAACAACGGAGATATTTAACACATAGAAACTAACAGGTGCCACACATCACAAACATTTTATATCTACAAAATCCTAGGAGAATCTCAAGCAGCCTCCAGGTCTCACAGGCCATTCCTGAGATGCAGTTTCTGTGAGTCATCATGCTGCAGGGTGGGCTCTGGGATGAAGCAGTGCCTTGGAGTCACCCATGCTCCATGCAAGTGACTCCTTTATTCATACTCTATAAACTGTCTGGTTCACTTAAAAAAAAAAAAAGCAACTTCTAGGATGCTGATATCAGTAAAGAGAATCTAAAGTCAAGGAAAGTTAAGAAACTTGAAGTCAGGCAGCTGTGGCACACACCTTTAATGCCAGCACTCGGGAGGCAGAGGCAGGTGGATCTCTGAGTTGGAGGCCAGCCTGGGCTACAGAGTGAGTTCCAGGACAGACTCCAAAGCTACACAGAGAAACCCTGTCTCAAAACAAAACAAAACTTGCTGAGGATCAGGTTTTTGTTGATGTGTATATTGTGCACGTGTGTGTGTGTGTGTGTGTGTGTGTGTGTGTGTGTGTGTGTGTGTGTATGTGGTGATACATTGTGTACCTTAATAAAATCTGCCTGAAGATCAGAGGATAGAACAAGTCACTAGATTAAACATACAGGCCAGGCAGTGGTGGCACACACGTTTAATCCTAGCACTTGGGAGGCAGAGATCCATCTGGATCTCTGAGTTCAAAGCCACCCTGGATTACATGAGATTGACTCAGTCCAGGAGTGAAACAGAGCCAGGCGTGGTGACACACACCTTTAATCCCAGCACTTGAAATCTCATGCCTTTGCTTGGGAAGCACACACACCTTTAATCCCAGGAAGTGATGGCAGGGCAGAGAAAGGTCTATAAGGCGTGAGGAGACCGGAACTAAAGGCTTTTCAGGCTGAGAAGTCCTAGAGATAAGAGGTGGCTGTGGCTTGTTCCTTTGTCTCTCTGATCTTCAGGCAAATTTTTATTAGGGTACACAATATATCACCACATATAATGAGTATATTTAGATTTATTTTTTTGTGTATGAATGCTTTGCAGACATGTATGCATGTGCACCATGTGTATGCCTAGTGTCCTCAGAAGCCAGCAGTCCCCTGGAACTGGAGTTTCCAAAGGCTGTGGACCACCCACGGTGCAAGGAATTGAACCTGGGTCCTCTGCAAGAGCAGCAAGTGCTCTTAGCTGCTGAGTCATCTCTCCAGCCCTGTTGTGATGGTTATGTTTTTAAGAGGCAGAATAAGACTTTGAGCCCACTTGTTAAGTGTGTGCTCTTTACATACCATACACTCTTACTCACCACAGTTATATACAGAGAGTAATTGAGTCACTTACTTTAAGTTTTCCTTTGTTAAAAGCACAAATGGAGACCTGATAGGCAGAATGTCCCATGTCGATAAACACAACATTCCTTGGTTTCTCATCTAATGAGGGAAGATCCTGTTTATAAATTCCATATGCCAGTGCAACTGTATAAGAACAAACATTAGGTTAATTTTTATATTGCTGTCCTTTGGAAAACAAGACAAAGTTGTTTTTATGTTGCATTCTAATAAACAGTATAATAATAGATTCAGAATACATTAACTTTTCACAAATTGCTTAACATTTTATTTTTCCTACTCATTTGTAAAGAGTTACAGCAGTAACCATTCTTTAAATTCAAATGTGAATTCAATCTGTGCCAAAATTCTGTATTCCAAAGCAACAAATTAGAAACAATACAAGTTTTAAAAAGCTGTAGAGAGAAAAAATGCTGTTTTTTTGATGGTACTTTTCAAGTGGCAATACGGACCTGCAGTGGTTTCGTTCATCAGCCTCAGACAATTCAGGCCTGCAACCTGAGCTGCCGCCATCACGGACCGTCGCTCTGCATCGGTGAAAAAGCTCGGGATCTGGTGAGAATAGGCATAAGTTACTGCCTCAGTAACTGCAGGAGCACATGTAACTTTAAATCAACGTAAAATGTCAGTGTAGGTTCTTAACTTTGACAGTTTCTGTACCACACCACACAGATGGGATTTGGAGTATGAACACAAATCCAATTAGAATGGCAGGATCACCAGTTCTGTTTACCTCAAGGAGCCAGTGTTAGTCTGGTTACTGTGGTTTAGATAGCTGTCTCTAAGTCTCATGTGCTAGTCCTCAGTGTGGACCTTGTGGAGGTAGACTGTGGTTGAAGGTGCTTAGACTAATTGAGAGGTAGCTCTAGGAAGGGATGATGGACTCCATTTCTGTCTGAATTCTTGTTCAGCCATCTGGTCTTTTCTTCATACATATCCTTGCCTTTCCTGGCTACATAGTTCAAAGCCAGCCTAAGCTACATGAGACCCAGCTTAAATTAATTGATAGAAAAAAGGATAGCCTCTTACCAGGCTCTTAATTCAAACTCAATCCAAAATTTACAGTGCCAATCAATCCAAAGGGATGTATCAAAATATCTGAAATAGCTTTATCCTAAAAATCATTTGCAAAGTATAAGCCAGCACTTGTTGGTCCATACACAGGAGTGAATGCTATGTGCACCCTTCACTGGGTCACTGAGAGGGTACCTTAACTCTGGAAAGCTACTACAATTCCACTGAATTCCAAGCCATCTAATTCTCTCCAGAATAAAATAGGTTTCATGAACAGACAAGGTGGCCAAGCCTGATGACCTGAGTTCAATACCCAGAACTCACACGGTGGAAGGCGAGAACAGACTCTAACTGTCCTCTGGTCTTCACACACTTCTGTGGCACTTGACACATGGCAGACACATGCATTGCATGCACACACATCCACAAGTAAATAAACAATGTCAAAAACATTTAAATGGATTCACTAGCTGTTATGTCCTCACCACAAGACAAACTAATAGTTTCCCATAATTAAATTCAGCTTCCTAAACCTAATGAGAAAAATAAACCTGTTTTCCTTACAGTTAGCCTGCTCCATTATTTTGATACACTATTGAAAACTTGACTAATATATTAGACTATTAAAATACTAGTCCTAGGCATGGTGGCACATGCCTTTAATCCCAGCACTCGGGAGGCAGAGGCAGAAGGATCTCTATGAGTTTGAGGCCAGACTGGTTTACATAGTGAATTCCAGGCCAGCCAGTGCTACATAGTAGGAACCTGTCTCAAAAAAAAAAAAAAAAAAAAGTAATAAATAAAATATTAGTCTCTCTTTAATAATAAAAAATCAAAACCCTAAAACTTTGCTAAAATGAGGTGCATCTAATAACATAATGTTAAAAAAAGGACATGCACAGGCTAGAGAGATGGCTCAGTGGTTAAGAGCACATGTTGTTCTTAAAGAGCACTGGAGTCCTGTTCCCAGTACCCACCCAGATCAAGCATAATTTCCTGTAACTCCAGTTCCAGGAAATCTGAGGCCCTCTTTTGGTTTCTATGACATGGCATGCACATGGTGCCTGCACAGACAACCAGGTACACACACACACACACACACACACACACACACACACACACACACACACACACACACAAAACAAAACGGCTATACAGAGCATAACTTCATTTCTGTGAAATATATATACAACTAGAAGATGAAATACAAATGTTTAAAATGGTTACATTTCCAAGGAAGAAAAATATATATTGCAGGAAGTTATGAAAAACCTATTTTACAGCTATGAAAAAATACTGCATTTACACAGTTAAACTCAGGCTTAAAATGTATAAAGATTTATTTATACTTATTTATGTCAAGCTAAGAAATGCTTTGATTTAGCCCCTATCCCCTAATTTTTTTTTAAACAGGGTTTCTTTGTGTCCCAGAATTAGCTCTGTAGATCAATTTGGACTTGAACTCACAGAGATCTACCTGCCTCTACCTCCCAATTGCTGAAATTAAAGGCATGTGTCACCATTGCTCAGTTATTCCCAAAATTTTAAAGATAATTAGTGAATATATTAATGTAGAAAATAACTCAATGCCTTCATGACCTGATGTTCAATCCTGTCTCAAATTCTCAGTATGCTGGAATTAGTATTCAGTCACAATACCCAGCTTAATATTTCTTTTATTATATGTATGTGGAGGTTGTGCAATGCCACAACATGTATTTATAGGTCAAAGGACAACTTTGTGGAAGCAGTTCTTTCCATCTTCTCATGAGTTCAGAGGACTAAATGCATGTCATCAGGTTTGAGTGGCAAGTGCCTTTTACTCAGGCATCTCACTGGCCCCCAAGTTAAACTATTTGCTGGTTGTTCTTTTTATTTATTTAGACAGATTCTGACTATATATCCTGGCTGTGCTGGAACTCACTATGTAGACCAGCCTGGCCTTGAACTCAGAGATTTGTCTGCCTCTGCCTCCTGAATGCTGGGATTAAGGGCACATGACATCATGCCCAGCTTAAATTTTAAGTTTTAAGCTAGTAGTCTCTATGTTTATTGTGTTCTGCTTATTATTTTTTCTTTTTTGGAGCTAAGGACTGAACCCAGGGCCTTGCACTTGCTAGTCAAACACTCTATCACTGAGCTAAATCCCCAATCCCGTGTTCTGTTTGATGTGCTCACTGTCCTGTACATTATTGTTATTCTCCTGACAAATCTATAATTCATATGTCTGGTTCATATATTATTTATGGGGCAATTTATGAACCAAGTACTTTTGTATCTGTTATGGATACAGTAGTCCACAGAACAGTAAAGTAATCCTCCTAATGCTTACAACCACAAGAGGTGGATCTTAAGACACCCGCACCATTCTTATACATATATTCAAAGTGGCAACATGAGGAAGAGTGGCAAGCACACTCCTGGGAATGAATCACCTCAATTCTTTGCCTGGAGGAACACTAGGTGGTGATACTCTACCCTCATTGGGAAGCTCAGACTTACTGTGTTAATACATATAAAACTACTACAGGCCCAGCTAATGGTAAACACTCTTATCTGCTATTTCTAGTGGTTACAAAGTAAAATACTAAGCTCTTACATTTCTTTCCCATTAAATTCAAATGATGAACTTTAATCACACTAAGTAAAAACTTTAATCACACTAAGTAAAAACATGTATGTTAAAAAGAAGCTAACAATATTCAGTGAGATTTCAAGAGATAGGCTATGGCAGATAATTAAATATTTTATTAAGAATTAAAAAAAAGATCCTTAAAGAAATACCTTCCCATCCCCACAGAATACTATAACTTCAAATTCCTGTCTATGACTTCGAATCCCTAACTTTGAATTTTTAACTCATGCCCTAAAACATTAAAGTATTCAAAGTTGGGAAGTTAAAAGCTTTTTGGGAAGATTATCTTTTTAAGTTTTTAAAAATTACGTTCATTTAGTGTGTATCTTTGTATAGACTTGTGTGCACGCACATGTGGGAGGGGCACACATTCAGAAGCAGAGGACAACCCTCAGGAGCCACGTGGGCCCTGGTGATCAAACTCAAGTGCCTTTACCTGCTGAGCCATCTCACTTGTTCCTTAGGGAGACTCTTAGAAGTGGCAGGGGCAGCAGTCACTAAAAAATAACACACTCTGGTTTTTTTTTTAAGTTTATTTATTTATGAATTTTTTAAGGTATAAGCCCTCCATCTGCATGTATCCCTGCATTGGATCCCATTACACATGGTTGTGAGCCACCACGTGGTTGCTGGAAATTGAAGTCAGGACCTCTAGAGGGGCAGTCAATACCTTTAAACCACTGAGCCATCTCTCCAGCCCCACACTCTGGTTTTTGAAGGTTCACTGATGATCAGAACAGACTTTATTGGAAAGTCAATCTAAACTTCACGCAACAAGGTAAAGTTACTGTAAGTTATTTTCTGACCAAAGGGGAAAATTACAAAGAGAAAACCTTTTCTCCTTGATGTCAATACCCTGGAGCTCACCGAGATCACACAGTCGGCCACTGGCTTCTTCAGGGCATTTTCTGAGGTCTCTTTAAGCTTAGCCAACAACATCCCAGTGACTTGCTCAATCGCAAAGGGCCTCTCTTCCTCCAGGTACCGAACCTACAACCAAGATCGATACACTCAGTCACTTACTTATTCACACAACACATGTGCACACCACACACCACAGTGCAAAGAGCAGTCCGTTCCTTACAGATGGTTACTAGCAACATTGAGTATGCCTCTCACTTTTAGCTCCACACAAACAAGTACGTTACTTTGGACAGAGCTCTAAACTCACAGGTCCTCATCCATAAAAACCATTAATTTTTATCATTAATTTTCCAAGTATGATGTAAACAATGAAGGAAAAAAGATAAAATTCTTAAAAGTTAGTACTCCTGGGCTTAACATGCAAGCCTCGGTCACATGTTTTTGAAAAGAAGAAATTAAAAACACCGGGTAAATAAAAAGAACCCTTATTTAGAAAGCTGGCTTGAGCCAGGTGGTGGTGGCACATGCCTTTAATCCCAGCACTCGGGAGGCAGAAACAGGTGGATCTTTGTGATCTGAAGGCCAGCCTGGTCTAAGGAATAAGTAGGCCAAAAAAAAAAAAAAAAAAAAAAGGAAGTCTGCTTATATTACACCAAAGTTCCTAAGGACATACATGGATTAAGTATAAAATTTGATGATTAATGGAGACCAGAAAGATGCTACACTTTATTACCTAACTATATTTCATTTAGGAATATAAGATTAGTTTGAGCAAGGAACCTGTACTTGAAAGTAATTTAACCTTTGTGGTGCATTTAAAAGCAATGCCAAGCAGGGCTGGAGAGGTGGCTAAGCAGTTAAGAGCACTGGCTGCTCTTCCAGAGGACCTGGATTCAACTTCTAGCAACCACATGGTGGTTCATAACCATCTATAACTCTACCTCCAGGGAATCTGGCCTCTGAAGGCAACAGGCAGGCATACAGACACACTGCAGGCAAAATACTAATACCCATGAAATACAATACAATGTAAAGTGATCGGAAGAACTTGCATAAAGCAATTTGTGTGTGTGTGTGTGTGTGTGTGTGTGTGTGTGTGTGTGTGTGTGTTGTTGTTGTTGTTGTTTGAGATAGGGTTTCTCTGGGTAGCCCTGGCTGTCCTGGAATTCACTCTGTAGACCAGGCTGGCCTCAAACTCAAGAGATCTGTCAGTGTCTGTCTCCCAAGTGCTGGGATTAAAGGCATGCTCCACCATGCCCGACAAAACAACTATGCTTAATTCACCCAATATAAGCCTATGTTCTTTACTTCTAGATCCCCAGGGTGCACTTTTTTTCTATGACACTAACCTTTGAAAGAGTTCGGGAGAATGCTCTCAAGCCTAGCAGCACATTTAGATGTGTAAATATGTAAAAATCATTATGTATCTAATGACACAGGAATGATTTTGAACCACAACTAAAATTGTTTTTTATTGTTTTCCAATCCATGAAGAAATACCTAAGTAACAAATGCTATTGAACTGCTTCCTTTAAAATAAGGGGGTAAGGAGAAATGACTAACAGTGAAGAGAGTGAATCAAGCCACATAGTCTTACAGTAATTGGCTGATGAGGTGCTCAGTACTTTTTGTATAAGGGTATTTGAAGGTTAGATGGAATGAGTATTAAGTACATTCAAGCAAATCTGTACAGAAAGACAAGTGAACAAAATATACAGAACTGGCTAGTGATCTTCAGCTTCCAAAGATGGAGACAATGGAATACGGACCTGATACTTTCAAAGCCTTTTAACTATCTTATACTCATTATGAATATACAAAATTTTATTGCTCCAAAATTAGCTTTTCTCTTAAAAACTTAGTTTTCTTCAGCCCATTCACAAAATACAATCCATTTTGCATGTGTTTAAACATGGGATTTTCTTTTCCTAGTGCTGGGAACCAAACTCAGGCCCCTGTGCTTGCTAGACAAGTACTTGACCACTGAGCTAAATAAATCTGCAACCCTTCTTTATTTTAAAGAATAAAAGCAAAATATTTGAATGAGCTGAAATTGTAATCTCTAACAGGTAAGATTGCTAGATGGTCACTGACCAGGAACTCAAAACCTAAATATCCGACTTAACTTTCCTCTTAGTTACTGCCGGCATAGCTCAGTTATCCAGCTCCACTCAGCAATCCCTGACTTCCAGATTACACTGATGACTTCAGAATCACGCTCTGTTTTTAACCTCTCATGGGGTTTCTTTCTCACTATTAAAACCTGCCATCCACTTTACTCAGAATCTTTTTCTAAAACTGGAAATACAGGCATATCCATAGCACAGACACATCAAGTTTAAGAGTTAATCAAAATAGCTTTAGGAAGCTGCAGTCGCACAGCAGAAAGTTCCAGGGATTATATTTTAAGAGGACTACAAAATTGTGCATGGATCTCCACGTTTAACTTGTACAATGTTTTCATCACCACTCTAAAAACCTCCTCCCAGCAGTTGGCTGCACATCCATTTCCCCTTCCCCTCAGCCCTTATCAGTCACTCATCTACTTTCTGCCCATATGAATTTACTGTATTCTGGGAGGCTGCAAAAAAAATAAAAAAAAAAAAGACTCCACTAAATTATGTGGATTTTTGTGCTAGGGTTCCTTTACTTAGCATGTTTTTGAAGTTCATATATGGTGTGGCATGTATCAGTACTTTCTTTTTATGGCTGCATATTATTCTACTGTATAGATGGATGTATTTCACCTATCCAACTCAATGGACACATGAGTATAGCAACTTTGTTACTATAAATTACACTGTTAATATTATTAATGTTCATGAATAGGAATTTTGTGGACATATTTTCAACTCTTTGGGGTTTGTAAGGAGTAGAATTGTTGAGTCATACACTGTGCTTTATAGTATCTCACTAGTTTGTGTTGACCAATTTCCAACAAATATCTAGAATACAGTCAAAAACACAGAATCCATTTCTTAGAAGAAAGTTTGCTTTAGCACTTCTAAATATTACAAGATTCTTGTAAACCTGAAGAACTGCTGGCAGTTCTACTACTTGGGAGGTGTACTCTTCTAAGTTGCACATGGCTCTGCTATTACTCCCTACAAACCTCATCTACTGGAGTTCTCCTAGTGATAGTAATTTCTTCTTTCAAACAAAGTAACTTTTAAAAAGTTACTATCTAAGCCAGGCAGTGGTACAGCACTCGGGAGAGAGAGGCAGGTGGATCTCTGAGTTCGAGGCCAGCCTGGTCTCCAGAGCGAGTTCCGGGACAGCCAGGACTGTTTCACAGAGAAATCCTGTCTCATAAAACAAAACAAAACAACAAAAAAGTTGCTATCTAAAATAGAATGTTTTGCATTCACTAAAATAACTGCAAACTTGACTATCTTAGGTGTTGTCCTAATTTGGGTTTCTACTGCTGTGATCAAACATCATGACCAAACCAACTTGGAAAGGAAAGGGTTTATTTCATCTTACAGTTGCAGTGCATCATCCAGGGAAGGCAGAGCAAGAACTTGGAGGCAGGAGCTGAATCAGAGGCCATAGAGGAGCACTGTTTACTGGCTTGCTCCTCATGGCTTGCACAACTTGCTTTCTTATACCTCAGGACCCCTATCTGTCCAGGGGTGGCACCACCACAACCGACTGGAACCTCCCACTTCTATAACTAAGAAGACTGTATTACAGATTACCTGTAGGCAAATACTTGAGGCATTTTCTGAATTTAGAGTCCCCCTTCCCAAATAACTAACTTGTGACAAGTTGACAAAAAAAAAAAAAAAAAAAAAAAAAAAAAACCAGCCAGAACAGAGGCACATATGTACTATGTCTGAGAAAGAAAGTTATACTTCAGGTCATAACAGTAACATTCCCACATTGCTCCTTCCTTCAAGGCCACAGCTGTACTCTGCAAACACAAAGCTCACTCACCTTAACTCCTGCACTTCCATTGGGCATCTTCTGCAGCTCATAGGGAAGCTTGACTCTCTCGGTTTGCACAATGGGGTCATCAAATGATCGCCCATGAAGCTTTTTGAAGCCATGAATTGTATTTCTTACATTTGTGACTATCTGTTGGCAACAGAATTTAAATTTATCAATTACTTAATGAGGCAAAATAAAGTAGTATCCTAATACTTAAAACCATCAAATATCTAATCCCATACATTCAAGTTCAGAATTTTACTTCATTCATTTTTTTGTTTTCCAACTAGAAAGTAAAGTTATAGTGTGAGTATGTATGTATCTTAAATACTGTATCGACAATTCTCTTCTTATCCTAGGAATTAGTGAAAGAGAGAATGATAATATAAAACCTAAAACTTTTCAAGTAATATGGTGAAAATCTATTGACAAATCATCTCTGGCTTCAGCACTTTGGAAAATTGTATGTGTATGAGTATTTTGCCTGCATGTATGTCTGTATACCACTTGCATGTCTGGTGCCTGATAAGGACAGAAGGAGGCATCAGCTCTCCTGGAGCTGGAGTTACAGACGGCTGTGAGCCAGCATGTGGGTGCTGGAATTGAACTTGGGTCCTCCAGGAGAACAGTCATTATTCCTGACCACTGTGCCATTTCCCCTGCCCATCCTCAGCACTTTTGACCCAGGAAAATCCTGTCTTTGATTCTGTGTTTTCCCCTCACTTACAAATACTTTATTCTGAATTATGTGTGTGTATGGGGGGGGGGTGCATATGAGTACAGGGCTCTTAGAGGCCAGAAGAAGGAGTCAAATCTCCTGGAGCTGGAGTCACTGGGAGTGCTGGGAAACTGACTCTGGTCCTCTGCAAGAGCAGTGTGCTCTTAACTGCTGAGCCATTTTTCCAAACCTTTCCCCCTTTTCCTATGTTTTTATTTACATTGTTTTTAAAAATCATTTAGTTTTCCTTTTTTCTCCATGTCTATTTTCTGAGAGATGTCTTATATATTGCTCCCATTGCTGAGAATCACCCCTAGACCAGTAGTAATTAAAATCCCTTCTATGTAGCATAGTGCTAAGCAACAGTCTTAATTGTAAATGACTGATATTTTGACAAGATAATTTTTTGTTCAAACTATACACTGTTACTTAGGTACATATTTGCTTTCTTAGTGACTTGCAAACAGATCTGGAACTTCTATCATGGGATGAATACATGGGGGTACTCAGTTAATTTAACTCATAGGGAATTAATATTATAGGCTGCTTTAAACAAAGATTATTTCTGCCAAATTTAAAGCAGTCAAAATATGATGGTGCTAGAAAGATGGCTCAGTGATTAAGAGAGCTTGGTGCTCAGTCAAGAAGACCTGAGTTTAGATCCCAGAACTCACATCAGGTGGCATGCAAGGCCTGTGACTCCAGCTCCAAAGCACCCAACACTCTCTTCTGGCCTCCATGTGCACTGGTCCCATACCTGTACATGCAGACACAGACACACACACATATACACAAATAAAATAAAACCTAACTCTTAAAAACACCAAAATGTGATGTATAAATTAATTAAAGGAGCTATTTAGCACATAATTAACATTTATATACAATCCAAATGTAGAAAACATAAAACACTTTCACATATAAAGCAATTATAAAAGACATTCTTTCAAAATTGTAAGCCAAAGTTTTTAAATAAATGAGTAAATAATTCCTCAAAGTCATGAGGAAATAATGGCACATTAAATTACTGATTCTTTTGAAACAGGATATCATGTAGCTCAGGCTTTAAACTCACTTGAGATCAGCCTTGAATTCCTGATCATCATAACTCTGCGTCCTTAGTGCTAGGTTTACAGACATGAGAACAGGAAGAAAAGACCCAGCTATACATTAAATTTAAGAAATAACTACAAAGGGCTTTGGTTTAGGAAAAATAAGACAATATAAAACCAACAAGCTATCAGGCAAACAGGAAAATTTAAAGTTAATATTCTATTCAGAAGCCTAGAGATACACTTAAATTTTTTGGTACACATTAAGCCACTCTGGAAATGATTTCCTTTGTTTCCCCCACCTTCTTTTGCTTCTTTTCTGAATGATTCAGAAGACTGCTCCTTATAAAAAGTGATCATACAGGAAAAAAAATCCACATGGTAGGACATTCAACTTTACAATTTTTAAAATAAATAAAAAGAAAAATTATTCTATAACTCAAAGCAAATTTATTTCTCCTCCTTCTTTCACATTCTCACCCTGCTTTTTCTTTGTTTTTTGTTTTTTTTTTTGAAGTAGTATTTCATGTATCTTATACTGCCCTTGAACTCTTAATCCTCCTGCCTTAGGAGCTGGGATTACAAGTATGTGCCACCACACCCAGCAAAGTGTCTCTGACAAGATACAATGGTGCTGGCCTCTGTCCTACTTGTAATTCTCAACTACATACCATGATAATTTACCATTGTGCAGTTAACTTTCTCTCTGAGTCACAACACCACACTAACAACATACCTGGCTCTTGGCTGCATTTCCAATGGCTCGAGTTCTGGATCCCAAAGATATACAGGCCCTGAATAAGATGAGAACAAGAGCTCCTTTGTTTACCTGGTACACTACATTGTTTTATGTGCCTTTATATGGTTTTCCTCATGCAAAATTCAATTTAAAATAATTAAAACAATCAGTATTTTAAAATCAGGTAGTAGAAAGAAAAACTTTATATATTTCTAAACTTTATAATAACAGAATAGTGATAAGAGTTTTAGAATTTAAAAAATTGTCCTAATAGTTGACAATACAGTATTGGTGCCAAAATTGTTTTTCAAATTCTACTGGCCTGAGACCTATTAAAAAGTAATCATATTTAGTAAAGTAAGGCTGCTTGGATTTCCACTCTAGTTCAACAGCTAAGTATCTGTAGGAGTTAGGTAAGTATCTGTAGGAGTTAGGTAAGCATCATTTGCTCCAGTTTCCCATGCGGTGATAGTGATGACATCACCTGCTCATCAGGTTATGTGAGGACCAGGAGAGTGAATGTAGGTGGTAAGAAGTGCTTTCAACACCTGGCACACAAAAAAGCAAATGCTTGCTATTTTAACCACTACATTTTACATGTCACATGAAGAATGACATTTTTATCATGTGAGTGAAGAAAATGTTCCCATGATTTCAGTTTTAACTACAAGAAACTATTCAGTCAACTAATACTATGCATACATAACCCATTCTCTATCCTTGGATAATTTATAGTTTATTGAAAAAATTGAACAGAACACATAAGATTATGAAAAAAGAACAACAACATCCACATAATAGAGCTTAGGAGAAGCAATTTCTAAATTAAGACTTGAAAAGAGATAAAAGCATTTCATTTGTAGCTGTTTTGTGGAAAAGGACGTTCCAGGCACACAGGTGCTCAGGTTAGATATGGTTTCCTTCTAAAGGTCCCAAATGTAATGACACTGAGATGGTAAAAATCTTTGAGATGTAGGGTCTAGGAGACAGATTATGTATGGGGCACCAGACTCCGAAAATCAGTACCCCTTTTACAGAAGTATGTTCCCTTTCTGACACAGCAGAGGCCATTGCCAGAACACCAGCACTATGAAGGAGGTATCCTCCAGCCACTAGAATCTGGAGCCAAGTCAGTTTCCTTAGAATTCCCTAGTCTATGGGTTTGGGGATTTAGCTCAGTGGTAGAGCGCTTGCCTAGCAAGCGCAAGGCTCTGGGTTCAGTCCTCAGCTCTGGGGGAAAAAAAAGAATTCCCTAGTCTGACACTTTCCCCTGACAGTCCTATATAACCAGCATTCCTGATTCTCCCCAACATAAACATCTCATAACATTTAAAACCAATTTTATTTTCCATAGTATATATTGTCATCTAATACAACTTAATTTTCTTGTTGTATCTTTAGATCAAAATATGAAATCTGTAAGGGAACAGGCACTGTCCTCATTGCACTATTCAACATGGTAGCCAACGCTCACATGTGGTCAGTACAATTTAAATTACATAATTATGTGCCTCAGAACTAGTCACATTTCAGGTTCCTTTCACTTTCATGTAGCTAGTAGATACAAAAAACTATACAGAGAACAAATATACACAACAGAAAGTTCTGATGCACTGGCCAGGAGCACTGACTGGTAAATTGGAAGGACATTTTCTGAATGGCATATAGATCCTAAGGGAAACAAGGAAGAATACAACCTGCATGTTTCATAGGAGGCTTTGATTAAGATAGTATTAAGGTCAGACTGTATAGAGCCTCAACAACCCAATTACAAATCTGAAACATTTGCATCCAGTAATGGAAATTCATTAAGTTTCTGAGTAATGGAGAGAACAATGTATGATGATGTATAATACAAAATGAAGGTTCTATCTCAGAGTATGACTTGCTAAGAGGTGACATATCACACTGAGGCCCACTGGACTTCAGTTTCAGCCATCTCTACATCTGTCTGCTCCTCTCGAATTTGCCACATAAGCTTTAAAAAAATCCCTACTTTTTTCTTTTCCCTTTCCAGACACAGATCACAGTATTCTTAGCCTTCTGATGTCACTGTGTTGTTGCTGGATGAATAATGATGAGAGATAGCCAGCAAGCTTCAATCTCTTCACCTCCTTGGTGAGCCTTTATGACCCACTTCTTAGGTTGCCAGTTTGGCTCTGAATCAAATTTTCAACAGCTAAGCAACATGTTAGTTCCAACTATAGTGTCAGGGTGTCCAGAAAGCAGAGTTCCTCAACCATGGTGATCCTGACATTCAGGGCCAGAGCTTCTTCTGTTGGGTGAATGGGGCTGTACTGTGTTCACCTCTACCCACAAGGCGCCAATAGTACCCTTTCCACTCCCACTCTCAACTGTGACAGCCACATAAAAATCTTCAGATAAGTGTAAGATGTCCCTGTGAGGACAAAATCACCTCCATCTGAGAACTACTGCCTCAAAAAGTTTCTGTAAAATGTGATTCTTTAGACACTAAAGTAAACTTGGGAAAACATTCTTTTCTTAAGAGACTTTCAATGCTTCCAAGTAAAGAGACTTGAGGAGTTCTTCAGAGAAAAAGACATCTGAGTACTGTTTAGCTACCTAGGGGAAATGTAGAAGATGAAGAGGGAGGAAATGTTCTCAGAATGGCACATTGTTGCTATAGGCTTTCAAACAGCTTTTTAGAAAAGTAAACTTTAGGCATATATAATTTAATGACAACCTAGAACTTCCAATCTTTAATTATGGCCAAAAGGACTGAATATTTTAACAAATGGAAAAATAATGGAAGTTTCCATGTTTATTAAACATAATTTGGAAATTAAATTAGCTTGTAACTTGAGACCATTAACAGAAACCACACAAATATTTAAGAAGTTGATTAGGCATGGCAATCCACACCTTTCATCTCAGCACTTGGGAGGTTGAGGCAGGAGGATTAATTCCAAGATCAGTCTAGGCTACTTACCCAAAATCTTGTCTCAAAAAACAAAAACAAAAACTCATCAGTGATTGTAGATACATATTAATTATTAGATTAGGATATGGTCTTATTTAAAAAATCACCGGGTCCAAACACAAATAAATATGCACAACAATTTTAAGGTTCTTTAAATGATGAATATCTGGCTAGAAAATCTGCAAACTACCATCTGCAACATACTTTTGTAAATGAAATTTTACCAGATCTCAGTGATCATCGTTCATTTTTATAATGATCATAGACTAAAAAGACTACCAATGGCACGTGAAACATCATAAATTCATAATACCTACTTATATTATGTAATGTCAGATCCCTCACCCAGAAGATCAAGGCAATGACTGGAGAAACATTTTGTTTTGTCTTATATTAATATTTGAAGATTTTTATAACAGTCTTAGGTTTGGCTATGCTGCAATTTGTACCATCAAACCTTATAATCCCCTAAACAAATTTAACTTAAAAACAAAACAGCAAATATAGTCACTGAATTTTTGTCAGAAGCAAAATAATCTTAGTAGCTTATCATCCACTAAATATGAATTCTCAAAAAAAAAATACCAAAACCCAACCCCAAACCCACAAAGTAAAAGGAAACAAAAAAGATAGCTATTGTAATATTAATTGCAAAAATAAAATATAAACACATGAAGATAGAACATGGGTTGGAATTAATGAAATGATTATACAAACACTAAAACAAATGGTATAGAAATACTTTACATAGAAGTTAGTGAACAGAACATCAAGTCCATTTTCCCCTTTCTATCTTAAAAACAAGTAGAAACCATCTGTAAGTTTTATTTCTGCACAGAATTATAATTTTTAATTTTGTCTTTTCATGTACCTCTATTTCTAGGCTTAACAATCATTTTTTTCTCATAATAGATATACTTAATAAATGAGTAAATTATTGGCCCTGGGATTATAACGATTACCTGATTTATGTCCATATTTGAGTAAATAAACATCTAGAATTAATAGAGAGGTGATGGGTCGATCTATTTAAAAAAAGGAGGCTTAAAGCATTCTAGACTACATTTGGAAAGTAATCAAAGCATTCTGCATTCACCTATACTCCTCTTAAACATACTGACATATTCCTAGAACTATAGTAACCTCAGCATTTAAAGGTGGTTTAGCACTGACCTTGGCTAACATTAGTTTGATTTAAAATTAAGTCTGGATCATTCACAAGGGTCAAATAAATTACCTTTCCATAAAAATACATGAACAGAATTTTCCTCATAAAATTACAGGCTAACAGGAGCCTACAAGAAAAGAGTTTTTCACATGCAAGTGTTAATTGTGTTCGTTGCCAATAAACTTCGCACGTTTCCATGACATAATGTTACTAACTCTTTCATCAAGAGTTCATAATGGAAACACTCCACAATCCTGTTTATACAGGATAGTCTCCTCTGACTCACCAACAATTCACTCTAGAAATATACTTTAGGTAGTGGCCTCTGACCCCAGCAATTTCTACTAATTGACAGAATTACCAATATAGTCGGCCAAGATTCCCTCTGCCGCGTCTCTCCTGAATGCGCCCTTGTTAACCTAATCCCTTCGGAAACTGGTCAGATGGTCTCAAATTCTCAAGGACAACACTTCATCTCTCCGTCTATAAATAGACTGATAGATACATAAATAAAACAAATACTTCTAGGATTAGAAAAACTGCCATTCATCTTCTGCGGTGTGCAATACCAGGCAGGGGTCACTTTTCTCAGCAAGCTGTCGCTCGGGGAGATGGGGGAGGGAGGGAGGGAGGGAGGGCAGACTGCAGAGCTCTAGTCTAGCTAGCACAGGATAATCCCAGGCCACGCCGCGCAGGCCACGAGAGACCCCCCCTTCCTGTACCGGACCCCTCGGTGGCCCCGCACTAGCCCCTTCCCGCGACCTAACGCAGGGGCTCTAGTGGGTCAAGGGCGTCTGCGGCCAGCAGCGGCGACACGAGGGCGGGCGGGCGGGCAGCCCCTGTGGCCCTCGGTCCCGGGGCAGGTCCCGCTGCACCTGCCGGGGAGGGCGTGCGTCCCGGGCCCGCCCGGGGGAAGGGGGCGTGCGGCACTTACGGCGTGCACCTGTCGCTGTACTCGTTGGCGATGGTCTCGATGCCGCCGCTCCTCGCCACCGCGATGTAGCAGTTGAGGAAGCCGAGGTCGATGCCCACCACCGACATCCCGCCTACGCGCCGGGCTGCGGGGACCGCGTCCCGCTGCGGGCCGCTGCTGCGGGCACTGCGACTCCTGCGAGAAGCAGAGGAGAGGACCCCACTCTCCGTCAGCAAATCAATCTAGGGCAGGGCGTCGGAACTGCGGAGGTGGAGCCGCCCGCCTGCGCCGCACCGCGCCGCGCCGCCTCCGCCCCGG